CTGCTGAGAGACTAGCTCCAAAGCTTTCAAGCTGAGACAGATTTAACTAATTTAAACCACATGACAACTTCGCCGTGTAGCTGAAAAATTTCTCAGATACCACCGAGACTGACTTTTCGCAGGCGGAGCGCCTGGACAGTGTCACCTGTCCGCCTGCCCAAGTTTACCGAAACCCGGTGGTTCCCAACATTAGCCAGCCGTTAGCTGACTGAGCTAGTGTTAGCCAGCTTATTAGCCGTCTTTCCAACTGGTGCTAGTAAGTTATTCCCAATTGGATATATTAAATACTAAAAGACATGGTTATTTCTTACCCTTTGTAGTAAGCTTTCACCCGGACTTGGTGGGAATTCTCGCCGGGGTGGGACATGGTGCCATCCCGCAACGTCGGCATCATAAGCTCAGCCGTGGACAGTCCGACTCAACGATATTGTCCTTCCTATCTACCTTGCTTCCTACTTTGGCCCGGTACCACGCCCTAAACTGTTAATTTTTACGGTCCGTCGACAAACCAAATGAATAACGAAGCAAGTGATGCCAAAAGCTGAGTATTTGCCCTTCTTTAGACAAACAAAAATAACAGGTAAAGTATAGAAAAACTTGCGGGGTCCGCCAAACAACTCCCCACTGCAAAGGCCTAACCACGGGCCAGTCCATTATCGGAATGTAACAGGGGGAGCGTATAACTTGGTATATTCGTTCCATCCTGAATTGTATCTTGTTAAAACACAAAAACACACAATTTCACATTGATGTATTATTTATCGAGTATAACAAACCAGTGGGATACGGTCAAAAACTCTGAAACGTCAAATATAACTTTTGGCATCACTGGACTGTACCAACTCAGGCCTTTTATGTAGGTAAGTGCTGCATTCGTGTTCAAACATTTAAGCTCGGAAAGGAAAGACCCTCGAGACATGTCGCGCATTCAAGCGCATTGGTTTGGAAAGAACAACAAAAAAAATTTTATCTAAAAAAAGATAAAAATCTAATTTTAGAAACGAGTTAGCTGCTGTGATAAAAGGAAGGGGGAGGTTAAAATAACGTGAAATGCTTTGTCTTCTTTTAAATATAGAATATTCTTTTTAATTCAACTTAGATGTTTACTATATTTACAAACAGACTGAGGACAATTATTGGGGGGAGGGTTGTTTTTTGGGGGGTTTTTTTGTATTTTCTTTCAAAGTTGTTCCTCATAATCTATGTATAAGGGCATGTATGAGGTATGCAGTAGGAGTGACAGACAGTGTTGGGGAGTAACGGAATACATGTACCGCCGTTACGTATTTAAAATACAAAATATGAGTAACT